CGTTAAAGAACCGTGACAGGCGGAAGGTAGAATAAAAAAAAAAGGGAGAGATCGTTTCCTTAATTCAGCCAGAGATTGAATTTTTCTACCCTGTTGAAGCTTATATAAAATAATTGTGCGCAAGAAATACGAGAGGGTGAAATATAAGTTTTACACAGAGAAAAACACGGTAATTGAATAAAAAGTATTATTCCACACGCTCGAAAAATTTGTGTTCTATTTAACAGATGTCCCAAACGGTCCACAGAAATTTTTGTGTTAATTTGACATAATGCGGATATGTTAATTTAAAGTACATTTTGTATGAAATTAACATGTTAATTTTAGATTTTATCCATCCCCACTTATAAAATGGAAGATCAACATTTTATTCTGTAAATTTTCTCAGCTAAATCTTGTCGCTAATGAAACACAGAACATATTTATTGTGTAAAATTAAAAAGAGATACGCATTGTGTTCTTTTTCAGGTATTTTAATAATTTAACATTCAAGTTCAATTAACACAACAGCAATATATTTTAAATTAACACATAAATGTGTTAAATATTTAACACAAAAATTTTAAAGGAAACCGCAAATTTTCCTACTGCGTAGAATTCTAGATCAATGATACACAGTTGAAAAATTTCTATTAAATTTAACAGACATCACATGTCCCAAACGGTCCACAGAAATTTTGGTGTTAATTTAACATAATATGAATATGTTAAATGGAGATACAAATATTGTGTTAATATTTGAACACAAAATAAATGCAAAACTTCAAATAATTTAAAATAAATTTTGTGTAAAATTAACAAAAAATATGCTCATTTTAGATTTTATCATCCCCACCTATATAATAAAATAGCAAATTAATATTTTTCCTGTAAATTTTAACAGAAAAATCTTGTTACTAACAAAACAGAACGTATTTACCTATTATGTAAAATTAAAAATAGATACACACTGTGTTATTTTTACATTGTTTCGGTTATTTTAATTTAACATTTAGGTTCAATTAACAGAACAATAATATGTTAAATTAGCACATGAATGTGTTAAATATTGAACACAAAAATTTTCACGGGGACCGTTTTTAACAAGAAAACAAATTTTTCTACTGTGTAGATTATTTGGCGCAATATGTCCTTCTAATTTATTTAAACGATGTGTTGACGGAAAAAGAAATCAAAATTGCGAGACAGATAGGGGGTTGATTCGTGAAGTGGAGAAAAATGGAGCTCATTTTTTATTTATATATTATAGATAATCGCGGAAGAAGAATTTGTGGGATCTCGTTAAACGTGTTTCCGAAGGAATGCGAGGGAAAGAAAGCGCCGTGGCGTCACCAAATGACACCCCAAATGTTATATACGAATATATATTGGATCGCATAGTGTACCCTCGTATTTCCTACATATCGCTTTTGTTCGCGATCTCCATTGTCTCCTTCTTTATCGTCCGTTTGAATACCTTGCACGCGTATTTGCGTACAAGGACCAACGAGTGTAATGGCGTTCCTGTGTTGAATGCTCCAGAGTCCCGGTGTAACCAGATCTGCGAAAAGGTCTATTGGTCCCCTATACGGATGTATATATAGTATATATGTATACGTGACCGGTCTTTGTCACGCAAATCTAATTTATCCTCCGCACTTTGTGATATATTATGAAACAGAAGCGCGCATACGTGGGAGAGTGGAAACTATTGGATGCGATATGGATTTTTTTATCTGAATATGGGATAATTATTTTTTTTTAGATTAATTAGAATTTATATATTTAGAAATTTATTAAGATATTCAATAATTTTAATTTTAATTTTAATTAATATTTTATGTAGAATAGTAATTTTTTTATACGTGGAATACTCCCTCGAATACGATATGATGAATTAATATATTTATGTTGGAAAATTATTTTTCCAATAATTTTAGTTTATATTATATTGATTTTTGGATTTAAATTTATATTATTAATAATATAATTTAGGAAAAAAATAAATTTTTAAAAGTTAATAGAAAATTAAAATTTCTTTAACATGTTTTCAAAACATAAACTTAAATTCAAGATCATTAACTTATTTTAATAGTAATTTATTAGAAATGTAAATATTAAATATAAAAGTTATTTTTAAATATTTTAAATTTATTTATAAGAATAACCTTTAAAATATTTATTTAAAAATTAATGAATCTCAAATTTTTATTAGAAACGGTAATAAGATAAAATAAAGAAAGAAAATTCAAAATAAATATTGATTTAAAGGATAAAATAATAATGAATTAAATTTTATAGAAGTCGAATTGAAAAAAACGCTAATTTTTAGGTTTATTTTTAGTTCGAATTTTTCACGGACCGTTATTATGTATTTTTGCGACATTTTAATGCATTGTCGCAGCCGATGCAGAATATTGAACGCGTATAGACATTTATTTAAAATAACAGAACACTTCATATGTATATATAAGTGTATATTTTTATCACATATATATGTGTTTTTCATGTATGTGCGCTTCTCGCTATTTGATTCATCTATTTATCGGAAAAAAACATGTGCACTGACATTTCGTTCGGTTTACGTCAACCAAGATTTCTGAACCCATAAATCAGAACGGATATTAAATTCTCGATTTTTACAATTAAAATAAATACGTTCTTAATCGATTATATAACATATATTTTTATTTAGAGCAAACTTAATGTCGAATTTTGACGCAGATTGCATTTTGACAGTTAATAGCTGCAAATTTAGCCATTTTGTCATTCCCTCGTTCGACTGATATAATACAATGCAAACAGTTTTGGCAAAATTCAAATACGCTTTATTATACCATTCAAGCTCGCGTATGATGAATTTTCATGAAGCAGTATGTAGCACGTTAATAATATTGCTGTTGTACGAAGGTATTTTGCACTGTTGATTGACATTTGCATTCAGATGTGATTTAGCGAACGCCATATATATGTATATATACATATCTAAAGCGCGGTCACACTTTTACATCGCGATAGATTTTGCTATTCAATTTGCCAATTACAATAAAATAAAAATACATCTTCTATTTCGGAGCGACCGAGAGGAAAAATGACGACATTCACCGCGCGAGATTTATTTATTGCGGCATTTTTACGCGACGTGCAGTAGCTACTTTTGTCTGTCGGGGGTAACTTTATAACGGAAGAGAAACGTCGCGATCCCTCTTCGGGTATGATAAAACGACGACTGACAGCAGGTAATACATATATTTTAGGTTTATCGTATCGAAAGTTTCTTTCCGGTCCGCATATCCCGCTGACTTTTCGCGTACGATCCAAGTACGACCGGGCGGAGATTCGTTTGAAACATCATATATAACATGCACTATCGAGAGTCATGTGATATATAGAGCGGCTGAATTTATTTCCACGTGAGCGCCGTTCACGTTCTATGAAATCTAAAAATACGAAAGGTGGGAATATTGCAGGTATTGCCGCGAGGTAGATTACAAATATTTATCGTATATATATATATATATATATATTTGCAATATATATTTGCAAAGTAAAATAAACGAAAAAAAATATTTTGCAAAGCAAGGAAAAAAAATAATTTTTTTCGTTTATCTAAAAGGCTCTTAAAGTTAAATGTTTGCAAAGTAAAATAAACGAAAAAAAATATTTTGCAAAGCAAGGAAAAAAAAATAATTTTTTTCGTTTATCTAAAAGGCTCTTAAAATTAGATGTTGATATTAATCGTGTAACTTTGATTGCATTACTCATTTTTATTTCTCACTCTGGTACCCTCAAGTTGAAAAATGAGAGAATTATATATTAGAATTAAATATTATTATCCTCGTATTATTTTTGAAAAAAAGGGAAACAAGAACACTTGAGCATTTATTCACCTCGAGTCATTTTACCATTCTTCGTATATTAATTTGCCTTCTCTACGGTGCGAACGTGATCTTTATTAATGATATGTTATCGCGTAGGTGCTGTACAATCAATATCGAGTCAGTTTATAGCTCAAAGCTGTCTAATTATCCGCAAATGCAAGTTCTACTATTTCGTGTTCGCAACAGCCGGCCATTTATCTCACTTAAGTTGCGTGTAAGAAATATATGTGCCAATGGCTATTAGTTATCTTTCGTTTAATTTCTTCCTTTCCCAATAATACACTTACTCATTCATTTATCTGTTCTCTACTTCTGTCAACATTATTTATCTCGTGAACACTTAAAAATCAGTTTTCTCCATCAGGGAAGACGTTGCATTATTTCAATTTATTATTAATGATAATTTAAAAGGTTATTTTAAATGTTTATGAATTTTTACTTTTGCAATATTATTTATTGTAAGCATACACATACGTAATAATACATTTATTTGGTATATATATATAATATAATTATCTATTATCGTATATATATATTATATAGTATATATATGGTATATAATTATTATATGATATATAAGTACTATATATACTATATGTATAATAATTATGTTATATATTAAAAATACATACCATATTATTATATGCCTTTTATAATAAACAATATTGTAGCAAAAATTCATACATCTTTAAAATAATATTTTTAATTATCATGAATAATTAATTGAAATAATGCAACGGCTTCTACTAATTTCATTATATATTATTTAATACAATATAATTGAAATTATGAGTTTGAATTTTATTCTGAAAATTTGTTCTCATTAATACTGTTAATAATAAATAGTGTTAATAAAAAATTTTTTTATTCATTTATTATTATTATTTTATTGCGCACTGAAGAAGACTAAGTATAGTTCGAAACGTTTGTAATTGGTTTTTTAAATTAAAATTTTTCCAAGTTTTTTATAATAATTTTTTATCGCTCGTTTCACATGGCCTCGTTATATTTAATAAGTTATCATTGCGTTTGTTTACATACGAGCTTGAACATTGTTACAGATTAGATGATTTTGTATTATTTTTTCATTGTGTTAATAATAAAATTGCAGTTGTTAAAGAGTTTGCTCCATGATTTTAGGTCCCGAAGGCGTAGCGGAAGTGGCGTGACGGACATACACTCTCAGCAACAGCAACAGCTGCAAGAGAACAACAACAGCTCGCGCGACGCGAAGAAGCCGCAGGAGGGACTGGGGCCCGATGAGATGTGGGCCCCTGGCGCCCTGGGACATCATCGGGAGCTACCTGTTGATGTGCCCGACACCCTCTTACAGAAGGCCTATCCCAACAAGGTAAAGATTTGCTCTTCCGATTATAGGAACGGGCTGCAGCATCGTCCCCGTAGCGCTAGCGACCTCGACCTATCCCTAAACCTTAAAAACGAGACCCTTAAGACGCGCACCACACCCGCGGACGGACGCCCCGGACACGAACTGTCAAACGACGACGTCGACGCGGCCTCACGGTCGATCAACGGTCTTCGGTCGATGCTGAAGATCGAGATGAACATCGAGGACGAGAGGACGAAGAAGATAATCGAGGACACCAGGAAGGAGATATCGCCTGGTATCGGCGAGTACCGGGACAGTCCGCTCTTGATGAGCACCCTGAGGGCTCTCGGGGATTACGAGAACGTTCACGAGGACGTGAACGGGCAGAAGGAGTCCGGCGTCGACGTCGAGGACGACTATCCATTTGCCAAAGAGGACTATCCGACCATGTTGAAACCCTGCAGCGACGATTCCGCGAGTCCCAGAAGCTCCTCGGGTAGATCCGACAGCACCGCGCCTTTAAACACCAGTTTGAGGTGCGAGCCCGAGCCTAATAAGAATAAGGATAAACCCAAGGACGTGCGACACACGTCTTACGACGTACGTAGGATAGACCTCGGCTCTCCGTGCAGGTCGGTGATGCCCGACATCAAGATACCACCGCTCTTCGGCCGATCTCGGGACGCGACGTCCTTCGACAATCCGGCTTACGGGCTGACGGATCTGCAGGATCTTCAGGGTCTCCTGCGATCCGACGAGATCTCCGACGTGACCAGACTAATAGACGATCAATGCTCGGCCGTCCCGAGGATCCCGATGGATCAGGACAAGGCGTTATCCTCCGTCGTCGATCCTGCCGAGGATCATCAGTCGGAATCCTCTCGAAGCACGATGGAGATGACCCCTAAATCCGGTACCAAGAATACGAAACGTAGCGCGAACGTGGAAAGCGAGCGGGCGAAGCCGAAGACGAGTCGTCGTCTTCTACGTAGCCTCGACATCGACGAGTTGGTCCGGACGGGCTCGACCGACGATCTCCTCGGCATTGAGCTGACCCACTTCACATCCTCCTCCTCGTGCGCCTCGACGACCCGGCCCAAGAAGAAGCACCGGCATCAGCAGATCTCCAGCGGCTACTCCACTCTGAGGAGCGAAGCGTCTGGCGATCTCGAACGCGGAAGTGACGTCGATCGCAGCTTCCTCGTGGTCTCGAACAACAAGTCCTACCGCGAGGTCGCCGTGGACTGTCCCCCGGATTTTGTGCCGGTTACTAAGCGCCATCCGGTATACCCGCCGCCGAATAAGACCGCCACACCCAGCGGCAACAGCAAGCACAACACCCTCGAGCCGAGACGCGATCGCACCCTCGCGACCCCCACGACGATGACGTCAACGACCACGACGACCACCACCATCACAACCCCCTGTCCACCCCCGAATGACACTGCTAGTCGTTACACGACGCTGTCTAGCAGCGCTAGGGAGATAGCCGTAGTCGCGTCCGTAGACCGTAAGCACGACGCCAGAAAGGTAAGGTCCCACGTCAAGAGCTTGATAGTCGACGGCTTGCAATCTATTCTGCGACACGAGCAGAGTCGCAGTTCGCTTCGCCACGCTTATCTCAGCACGCATCGCCTTAACGCACTCTCCGCTCGCTCGGACGATCCCGTCCTGCAGTCGTACAACATGAACTTGGAAGAGTTGAAGGTGTTCTCGGTCCCTTTGAAGGAACCCTCCCATGACGGTTCCGACTTGGACGATTCCGAAAAGGACAACTTCCCTTCGTTAACGTTCCGCGATTCCATGCGATCAGCTGATCAGTTGTCAACTATCGAGGTCGCGAATTCATCGGAGTATCTTCTCACGGACTTTGAAGATGAAAGTCCACCCTGTCCGGAGGAAATTATCGCGCGCGGACAGAGTCATCGGGAGTCATCGCGTGCGAACGAAGACATCGGGACGATATGTTATTATTCCTCCCCTTCGTTACCGTTCCGCGAGTCCGTGCGATCAGCTGATCAGTTGTCAACTTTCGAGGTCGCGAATTCATCGGAGTATCTTCTCGCGAACTTTGAAGGTGAAAGTCCACACTGCCCGGGGAAAATTATCGCGCGCAAACAGAGTTCTTCGTTGTCCTTGACTCGGCTCTGGGTCCAGGAGATAAATCAAAATTTTTGGAATTCTTGGCACGAGCTGTCATCCTCCGCCTCCTATCGTTGCGATTCGCCGAACACGCAGAATCGGAAAAACTTGAGCAATGTCGGGCACGAGCGCGTTTTCAAGTTGACGACGGTGGATGATAAAGGCGATGACGACGACGGCGGCGCGAAATCTCGCGCTTGTCGGAGAAATATGTCGGATATTTCCGATCTGTCGACCCGTCGGATTCGCATCCTGCTCTCTCTCCGCGTTCCCGTCCCGAAACCGAAAATCACGCGATGCATCACGGACGTAGAACGGAACAGAGGGATCCAATCCACGACTTTGGACGAGAGACGTACGATGCAGAGATCGTCGAACGAGCGTACCTCGAAGAGTGGTACGCACGTCGAACAGGTAAACCGCAAGCGGGACTTTCGATGACTTTGAGCATTAATTCTCGAACGGCGTCCTTGCACTTTGGAAACTTCAATCAAATTTCGCGGAGTCTCATCATATATATTACAGGTCTTTATCGCCTCTTTTCGAAATATAGAGTGTGCCTCAATAAGTGCGAAAAATTTTAGAAATTAATAATTATTTTTTTAACTATTATTTATTATTTATATTATTTATTATTATTTTTATTATTTATTATTATTTTATTATTTTTTATTATTTATTATTATTTTATTATTTTTTATTATTTATTTATTAACTATTGATTTTATGAAAAAAATTAAGGGATAAAAAAGTTTCTAAAGAAATCAAACTTTCTAACGCAGATTTTTTTAGATGATCATATTCCGGTTTATTTAAAAGTTCTGATAAACAATTAAATAGGGGTTAGGTTAGTTTCATCCCCTTATAACGATGCAGGAAGATAAAAAGAATATTAATTAATAAATATCCTTTTTATTAGTGGAAAATATCCACCAAGTTTTATTTTTTAAATTTCTGTCTGAAATTTGAGAAAAAATAAAAACTTAATTTTTGTTTATATAAGATAATTAATTAATTAAATTCTCCCTTCCTAATTAAATCCCTTAATTTTCGACAAAGAATCATCTCCTAAAATTGTTCGCGCTTATTTATATACACTCTTTTAAATATATCGGATTGTTCTTAAGCTTCTAATTTTCATTGATATTGCAAAAGTAGAAAAAAAAAGTACAAAGACGACTGTTTGATTAGATTAGAGATGCTGAAAACGTAGAGCATGCGTAGAAAAATATGGGACATCTCTAAGGTGAGGTTCATCGACGGCATGGTAAAGTAGTAGACTCACAAGCAAGAAAAAAAATTTAATGAAGTAAAATGCCTATCGATTTTCAACGATGTAATAAGAAAATTTTATTACACTTGATATCTATAACGTGATTCAAAGTAACGAGAAGGAATGAGTCAGGAATTCTGAATGACTTATTGTCAGACTTCTTGCTATCTTCGATATATACATATGTAATACAAGTTCAATTTTAATTATAAAAATGTAATTAATGTTATATAAAAAATATCATGTTACAGTAAATTAAATATAATATTACATTAACAGTAAATATATTAATACATGATACATTTAATATTATATTTTATATTAATAAAAAAATGTATATTTAAATATATATTTAATTGTACATTTATTAATATAATGGTATATTATATTAATTATACTATATATTATACAGTATATACAATAATATTAATATTACAATATAATAATAAATCATAATATTAATATTAAATGTGAATTATGTATTAATATAACTTTATATTAATTGTAAAACTTAAATTATATAATTTAATTAGAAAAATTCGACTAAAAATGCATCATCTCTTTGAAAGAGTCGGCATTTTACTTCCGTTTGATATTTTTGCTTTCGACGCGCTTTCTTGCAAGTGCATGCATGCATTTTTCCCTCGCTTTTCTTGCATCATCAGCTTCTGGCTCTCTCTCTCTCTTCTTTTGCATACGCTGGATCGACCATTCGAACAGAGTCTGCGTGTGTTTGGAGAACAAAAAGAGAATGAAACACGCGCGTGGTTGAGGAGAGCCGAAACGAAATTACGGCAAAGTAAAAATTGTGTGTACGACGTCAGGCACGTGGGACTATTAATACGAGTTGTGTTTTGGAATGGATTTTTAGGCCGGTCTTAACGGGGTCAAGCCTGCCATCCCGCCTCGCGATCAGAAGAGAGCGCCCGCCAGACCGCCGAAGGATAATCTACGTCTCTCTACGCAGAACAATAATGTCGAAACGAGCGATAACGCCAATACAACCGAGCCGACGCAGCAGCAGCTTCACTCCATCAGGAAATATCAGGTAAGAGACAGCAGGGATTATCGGCTCCCGCGTTTATGTTCAGTCACGCGCGCGATTAAGACGAAAATCGCGCAAATCCTGCGTCGAATTTCGATGTAAGTATTGAGGGAAAAAAAGGAAAATTATGCAGAAGATGCTTTCTCTTCAATTGTTCGAATTATTTTATCATTGGAATTTTGGAGATAAATTATATACTCTTGTCAGACAGGGTATCTAGTGGTCAGGGAATTTGACTATTTATCTGGATTTTTTCACATTATTCTACATTTGTCTCAATAATTTGAAAATTTTTATTAAATGAATATAAAACGAAAAATCGATTCGTTAATTTATATTTTCATTATCGTGTTATTTTATGTCAATGTGTTTGATAGAGACAAAACTAAAAAATTGATATAATTAATATAAATAAAAAAGATGATTATTTAAATAGTTATAGTTTATAGTGACATGTTTGTTTCGATTATCATACATAATGCAGATTGTATAATTGATTTAAATTTTTCTTTTAACTTCCGAACAAAGTTCAAAGATAAAAGTATCTCGAGAATTTCACGATTTAACATTTAATTGATTTATCGTATAGATATATGCAAATTATATCTTTGAAAAAATATATAATTTGACTATTACATATAGACTATAATATGACTATTACATATTGACTATAATTCGACTATATTACATATTGACTATAATTTGACTATATTACATATTGACTATAATATGACTATTATATATAGTTTATAATAATACTAAAAAATTAGGGAAAAAATTAATTTCTGGTCTTGGAAAATCTGAAAAGTCAGGGAATTTTTTTCATCGAGTCTGCTGAACACCCTATATCAGAAGAACAAATCTGATAACCGAGAGAGAAAGAGAACAATATACAAATGATTAATAATTGTTTTTTTCCACTAATTGGATGTAATAGACAGTTATAGAAAAAGAAAAAATATCATTTTAAACGAAACGTTACACATGTATATGGCAACTGTGAATGAAGAAGGGTTGGTGTAAACATTGTAACAGCGTAGCTCGTAAAATTTCATCATGACGGTGATAACACGTTGAGCGGAATTTTTCCGATTTTTGCCCTTGCAATCGGATTAAATAGGCAATTTTGACGGGGGCGAAAAAATAGGACGAGATCCCACTCTCTTTCTCCGTCTCTATGGAAACCTCGCAAGCCGATGCCTGCGGGGTGTTTCACGAACGACATTTGGCATTGCGCAACGATACGATAAATGACAGATCGTTATTTAAGAGGACCGTACAAACTCCTCTCTCCATCGCACGTGCGAACACTTCGGGCCGGGAAATTGCGAGCCGAGTTGACAATAGTTATTATCGGAGCACCACTAGACGAATAGCCGCATCGCAATTTTCGAATTTCCTGCAACGGGGGACTCCTGCCTCGACAAAGTTTGATTGATGAACGAGTTGCGATCTTGCACGAGTGGAAATCGATTAGGCTCGTCGAGATGTACCGTGCATTTGTCGAATAAAAAATATCGTTAAATAAGGGGAAAGAATTTCTAGTATCGAGACACTGAAATATGCTCTCAAGTGGAAGATAAAAGCGGAGACGTTCGATTTCGACTCTTGTAGTCTCTCGTATCTCGTTTAAGTAATTTTTTCCATTTTTCTTCAAGGGACCAAATACGTAGGATGGTTTGCTTTTCGATGGAATTGGCTGTTCTGCTGAACAAAAGATGTAATAGTTTCAAAGCTAAATATTAGATAGTTATCGAATTATAATCAACTTGTACAGTCCAAGTTGTTTGAGCAGATCATAAGCTAGGATTCAATTCAGAATTTTACATAGGTTTAAAAACTCTGTATACATGTAAAATAAACCCTAATCATATAAAATGGAATCTTGATCAGCTGATTTTCTCACATGAAACTTCTAACTTGTTAAACAAAAAAGGGATAGGCTCAAAGCTAAATAATAGATGTTAGATTAGGTCAGGTCAAACACGAAAAATCAAGTCTCAGTCCTAACTATCGAATACTTAGCTTTGCTATTACATTAAATAAAAACAGCTAATTCCACTGAAGGCCAAAATCCTAGTTTAAGTAATTGTTCCTATTTTTCTTCAAGGGACCAAATACGTAGGATGGTTTGCTTTTCGATGGAATTGGCTGTTCTGCTGAACAAAAGATGTAACAGCCTCAAAGCTGAATATTAGATAGTTATCAAATTATAATCAACTTGTACAGTCCAAGTTGTTTGAGCAGATCATAAGCTAGGATTCAATTCAGAATTTTACATAGGTTTAAAAACTCTGTATACATGTAAAATAAACCCTAATCATATAAAATGGAATCTTGATCAGCTGATTTTCTCACATGAAACTTCTAACTTGTTAAACAAAAAAGGGATAGGCTCAAAGCTAAATAATAGATGTTAGATTAGGTCAGGTCAAACACGAAAAATCAAGTCTCAGTTCTAACTATCGAATACTTTGCTATTACATTAAATAAAAACAGCTAATTCCACCGAAGGCCAAAATCCTATCCTTCCTTCAGTAAATAGTAAAAATAAATCGGGGGAAAAAAGGGATCCATCCAGTTGATGAAAAATGGCGGATAAGCCCAGGGGACGCTCCAAGTGGCGCGCACTTGAAATTCATACAATCTCGAGATATCTGTAAGTGTGAGAGATGCCAGAAACCCTTTTATACGTGACTGCCGGCGTCCTCGGAGCCGCGTGAGTATGTTTATATCTTATGGAATCCTCACACCACCACCACCTCACCACCACCACCGTCACGCTCTCTCACTCTCTTACCTGCCTTAAGTCAAGTGCGCGGGTCTGGAATGTAAAGAACCCCACAATAGTCTAAGATTACATGCCTGAAGTGTAACGTTACCAAGTTTCGATAGGTCGCAGACGTAGGGTGACTCGCAGACCTGGCTCTCTGCTGCTGCTGCTGCATTCAGCTCTGTTCGAGTTTCTTTTTTTTTTTTTTTTTTTTTTTTTTTTTAGTTCGACACACTTCCCTGACCTCACTTTCTTGATCTGCCTCAAGGGATACCCTTTTCAGACCTTCGATTCGACTCGTTCCGCACTAATATCTCGAAATATGCCGCGGCAGGTGTCCCGAATTAAACACGCATTCTTGCCTCGTTGTTTTCCCGTTTCTGTCAAACTCACAATTAACGTCCTCCTTCGATATATATACATATTTTCTCAAAAATTTACATTCCAATCTTTCAAGTTGTTTATACACGTAATTCAATCTACAAAGTTTTATACACATAATTTAATCTGCATGCAAAGTTCTCGTAAATTTAATTCCTATCAACGCGAAATCGCGGGTAAGAGATTATGAAGCGGCTTATTAAAGCAGTGATTGCTGTTTTTCCTGAAATTATTTTTACTTCGACGTTATTCTTAACGCGCTTTACGTCAATCGTCTAATTGCGAAAGAACGAGCTTCGGGTTTCATAGGAAACCTTACGTCGCGAAATAAACAGGGCTTCGTCGAGATATTTTCACCCCTTGTACGTGTGGGGTCACGCACAGCGCGTTATATCATATATATAAATGAGAATTACGAGTCTCATCTTTTCCCTGGGGTCGTCGACGAGTTTTTTATCGTCGCGTGGCTGTTTGCATCGCGTGCGTGTTTGCATCGCGATTTCACGTCAGCGAAGAACCGCGGACCCGGGTGACTAACGTTCGGTTTTATCAGTTGACACTGCGAGGGGCGTAGATTTCCCGAATCGCGAAAATAACGCACGATATCATGACTAATTGGCGCGACTTGAAGTGAAAGCTGTCGCGATAAAGAGATAAAAATGTATCATCGAACCTTCCGTCAAATATCCATTACACACTCGTCGCTCCTGTAAATTCATTCAGTAAGAGTAATGTGATGTTTTTTGGCAAATAATGTTACGTGGAATTATTTATGAATAATGTAATTTTTTAAATTTTCCTTTTGCAATTAATAATATTATAATGAAATAATTTAATATATAATAAAATATAGAAATATATAAATATATAAATATTATAATATATAATATATTATAATATATTATATATTTATATATAAATATTATAATAAAATAAAATAAAATAAAATAACGTAAAATAATGCGGTTTTGTATAAATAATTAAATGAAGCAACATACAAACATCTGATTGTATCGCCACGTATAATTGTTGCAGAAAGATTAAAATTGTTGTTACTTTAGTTACTTATGCATAAAAAAGTTAATTTTTTATTTTAATACTTATTGTCACTTAAGAAAGCCAGGGAATTATGCTATTGGATCGATTTTATTATATTCTTCTCAATTAAAATAAAAAAATTTGTTGAACAAATATCAGATTCTGTCTACATTAATAATTACGTGAAAATAATTAAAACATTAATTTGATTTATTTAATAAAATTTTTCAAAATTTAAAAAAGAATAAATACATGTTGCACTGTACGATTTAAATAAAATTACCGCAAGAAAAATTTAACAGCGGGGTCGAATAGAGAGATCTTTGTACTAAAATAGATTTCGCTGAAAATATCTTTGTAGATGGAAAACACGACTTGTATGTAGAAACGTCATTCGTACAGATATATACTGAAATGCACGGTATATCTGTGTGTGTGTTTGATGTATCTCCGGATTTAGTTGACACTAGGAACCAAAAGCGCGCTACTTCTCCGAATATCTAGCTACTTCGGAATAATTGACGAGAGCAGGGACATCTACATATCAAGATATTCGATCTAGTTTCGATGTCGTTCAAGGACTTTATATTTTCGCGCAAGCTCTTTAATCACGTTAAAAATGTGGTCTATACATTTTTCAACGAATTCTATATATATATAAGTATATGTATATACGTACATTTGCGACATTTGTTGCGCACAGTTGCACGCGACAATGATCTCGCAGCTTCTTGCATAATCGTCAGAGTTTGTATAACCCTCGCAATAAGGTAAGAATTTTTCAAACAATATGTAGCAAGTTTCTCTGTGTGTGTATCAACATTCCTATTATTCAATTTATAATGAATAAATAAATTGCATACATTACAGGTATATGCACGCGGGAAAAGTATAACGTGAGCCTAGTCTGATACAAATTTTCCCTGAAATTTCAATAAATGAAAAGGGAAAATTAAAATTTCAATAAAAATATATTTTTTTTTAATTTTCTGCAAAAAATGTGAAAAATATTTTACGACGACACACGTGTCTCCCACATATATTCAATAATCGGCGGATAGAATTCCGATATTTTAAATGGCTTCCAGGACGCATAAGGGAGGAGTTATACATCCCCTTGCCATAAAGTTCAATTCCCTCGAGAAAATATTTTTATTTCTTGCAAAGCAAATGGATCGTTTATGTCGTACTTACAGGAACAGTTACGGAAACGGAAGGATGAGGAGGAAAGGCAGGAGATGCTCAGCCATTCTCTCCGTGGATCCAAAAAGCTCCAAGCCTTGGAGAGCCACGCGACGAGTCTCTCCGGCCAGGAGAATCTTGCCTACGCACAGGACGAGGTGACCACCGTCAGCCGGATCGCACATGTCACTCCAAATGCGGTGCAAGAAGTCAAGGAGCCTCCCAGAACCCTCAGTAAGAGCGAAGGATTTGTTCCTCCCAGAGATATTTCTGTAAAAAAATTCGACAAAAATTATTGCACTTTAATAATACGTTTTTTAATTAAATTTCAATAGATCCTCTTGAGATCTGATCGATGATAATTTTTTTTTAAATTGCGCAACAGGGGAGCAGATGGCGAATTTGATGCGAGAGAAAAGCTCCAACAAATGTATCTTTTTCATATTTCAGCGTACGGCGAGGTAGTTGCTACGCTCGAGAGGCTGCAGCTCCAGCTGCAAAATATTTCAGGTGCTCTCGGTATATCGGGTGCAGGTGTCGATACCGAACTCAAGGCAGTTCGCGCACTTTTGGTGCAAAACGAATTTGCGTCCGCCCTGGCGACGCGTCACACTTTGAAGAGTCGGCTGAGGACGAGCAAGATTTTCAAACATCACGCCGATGACGCGTCAACTTTGGCACGAGATGTATGTAAATGTTTATATTATTCGTGTTATTTAATATCTTTTAATTAAATTTTTGTTTGAAAAAGACATTTTATGCATTGAAAACATTTATTGAATTCGTATAAGTATTTACTTCAATACTGCCTAATAAAGCATTTATTTGGAACTAATAATATTGATTTGATTTGAAATATATTTATTTGATATAAGAACATTTTTTCAAAACTGAAATATTTATTTGTTTCATATAAATGATTTATTAGATAGTATTGAAATGCATATTTATTAAATTAATGTATTATTTAAATTATATTTATTAAATTAATAATTTTTATTTTAGTGTGTCACAAAATTAGGCATTCATATGTAGTTTAATAATATAAAGGAAGATGGAAACTGAAGCTTTTAGAATTTCAATCGTGCATATAAATTTCAATTTTCAATTTTCAATTATATAAATTTATAGACGTTAATATACTTTATTAAAGGGAGTTTGTGACAGATGCAGAAGCTACACTTATCACGAATTTTAATAATTTATTTAATATCTTGAATAAAAAAAAATTATTTTTGATGTGATAATATATCAATCATAAAATATATTCTACAAAAATGAATAAAAATAATAATATGATATTAATAAATGTATTTATTAATAAACATTTATTTATTTTAATTTATAATGCTATTAAAATCCCGTGCTTGTTCTAGTGCATGGATGTCTTGGAGAAATGGCAATCGACCTCAACAGGTGTCGGCGGCGCGGAAACAATAGCCGCCGTGGAAGAGTTAACGACCATTCTCACGAGTTACGACATGGAGGCTCTGCTTCTCGCGCACGACTCCATCGTTTCGTACGTGGACGGTTTGCAAAGGAAACAGAGTCCATCGTCATCGCCGCCGAGCTGCCCGCCCAGCCCGACGTCCAGCTCAAGGGACTCCCGGGTGGTCGACAACATCAAGATCATCCGGATCGAGAAGACCAACGAGCCACTAGGTGCTACCGTCAGAAACGAGGGGGACGCGGTGATCATAGGTACTCATATTACATTAATTATGTTCCCATACAGCACACAAGTTTGCAGCAATATTGCAACAACATTGCATAGCAATATTGCAGAAATATTATATAGGCATGAATTTGCAATATAGTTTAAACAACGTTGCAGCGCCATTTCAGAAATATTATAAAAATAAAATTCCCATACAGCACAACAAGATTGTAGCAGCATTGTGGCAACATTTTATTGCAATATTACAATATTGCATAAACATTGTGAAATGTTGCAGCAATCTTGCTGCAAGGTTGCAGCAACGGTAAAAGGAATATTGTTCCATAACATTGCAGCAATAATGCAATAAAATATATATGTAATATTACTATTGGATTATTGGAAATGTGCCAAATACATGATCGTGAATTTTATTTTCATAATATTTCTAAAATGTCGCTGCAACGTTGTTTAAACTATGTTGCAAATTCATGCCTATATAATATTTCTGCAACATTGCTGTGCAATGTACAATATTGCAATGTTGTTGCAATATTGCTGCAAACTTTATCACGCAAAAAATATTAGGTACAGAACATTCAGGCCGATCATGTATTTGGCACATTTCCAATAATCCAATAATAATATTACATATATATTTTATTGCATTATTGCTGCAATGTTATGGAACAATATTTCTGAAAGCAGACCTTTTATCGTTGCTGCAACCTTGCAGCAAGATTGCTGCAACATTTCACAATGTTTATGCAATGTTGTAATATTGCAATGAAATGTTGCCACAATGCTGCTGCAATCTTGTTGTGCTGTATGGGTTAATTTATTATACATGAATTATTTTAATTATATTACACGTGTAATTGTTTAAGCTCTACTGTCGACGCCGGGATTTGATCTTCTAAGAGGAATAATAATGACACTTTAATGATGCCTAAACGTCTTCTTTCAAGGTCGCGTTGTGCGCGGCGGCGCGGCGGACAAGTCGGGACTCCTGCACGAGGGCGACGAGGTTCTCGAGGTAAACGGCGTGGAAATGCGCGGCAAGACCGTCAACGAGGTCTGCGATATCCTCGCCGGGATGCAGGGTAGTCTCACGTTCCTGGTCCTCCCGGCACCGATGAGCCATAGAAATAATTTAAGGAGGGAAGAGACGACGCAGGTATTTTTAGCTCGCTGAAGATGCGAACTCTACGTATCCGTAAACGTTGAAATTGGAACAACCGATATTTGTGTCGGAAAGAGCAAATGTCAGATCGGAGAAGACTTTTGTCCTTTAACTCGCCTGGATAAAAAAGCGACGTTGATCGTTTTACCTTTAATCATCCCTTTACGATTTTAACATATGCGCAATTCGATATGTCATTTAAAGTAGATCTATTATTTACATTTATATTTGTTAAGACTCGCTCAGAACATTTGAATTCAATTAAGGACGCGCAAATGTCATCGTATATAGATGTATAAAAACAAATGACTCTTGTTCTTTAACAATGCGACATTGACACTTGTAACCCATGGAATATCTATATATAGATATCGCGGCGCTATAATAGCGGCGAACCAGCTGTTCCAGTTTTGCCGCACTCTGACATAACGTAACATTTATAACCGCATAAAGCTTTTATCGTTCACGTTTAGATACACATACGAGCGCACTTCGATTACGATCCGGAGGAAGATCCGTACATACCGTGTCGAGAATTGGGCGTGAGCTTCCAAAAGGGCGACGTGCTTCACGTAATTTCCCAAGAGGATCCGAATTGGTGGCAAGCATATCGAGAGGGCGAAGAGGATCAGACCTTGGCCGGCTTGATACCCAGCAGAGCGTTCCAGCATCAGTGAGTCGACTTCTAATTGTTAATATATATGTTCGATTGCCGAATTTCATCCTGATATACAATTTATCCTTTGTAGACGAGAGTCCATGAAGCAGACGATAGCCGGCGATAAGTCGACGGTCCGAGGCTCGAAGAAATCCAGCACGCTTTTGTGCGCGAGAAAGAATCCAAAGAAGAAGAAACGGAATAAATTTGGCTCAAACTTCAACGACGACGGGTACCCTCTTTACGCGACAACTGCCATAGATGGTAAAGTGCTTAAATAGACATGACTCGATATGATATCAATTGTTCTGGTTATCTTTGCTAACGCTCGACTATTCTTTCCCGCAGATTACGACAGCGAGGAGGTGTTGACGTACGAAGAAGTCGCCTTATACTATCCTCGTGCAAATCACAAAAGGCCAATCGTACTCATCGGACCCCCTAATATAGGACGACACGAACTCAGGCAGAGATTGATGCAAGACAGCGAACGTTTTGCCGCAGCGATTCCTCGTAAGTGCCATTCATCCGCAAAAAATTAAGCATTTTTATTTGCATATTTTAATATACAAAAAGATAAATTTTAAATTTAATTATGCCTCCTCTTGTGGAAAATCCCGCTCATGGTGCCATTATAGGATATTTTACTGATTTAAATTATATTGAATTGTTATATTCGTCTCTCTTTATAGACAAACAAGTCTATCCAGCAAACACAGTATATAAATGTTATATACTCAAGCATGTTACATGTAACGTATATGTTAGTTGTAATTTCCCACTCATAGATGTAACATTTTTAATATTACATATATTACATTGTAATTATATTGTCATTATATCCCAAGATAGTACTGACTTATCAATACATCAATGTGCTATTTGGTATATAATTACAATATAACTACAATGTAATATATGTTATATTAAAATGTTACATCTATGAATAGGAAATTACAACTAACATGGATGTTACATGTAACGTACACGTTATATTACCTGTTATATTCCGTTTTATTATAGCAATGTAACAATTTATATATCGGTGTTTGCTGGGTAGTAATTATATTCATCCGAATAAACGTTATTTTCGATTTCCAGACACAAGTCGTCCGAAGAAGGATTCCGAGGTCGACGGCCAGGACTACCACTTCATTTCACGTGCTCAATTCGAGTCCGATATCCTTTGTCGGAAGTTTGTCGAGCACGGCGAGTACGAGAAAGCGTATTACGGTACGTCCGTGGAGGCCATCAGGACAGTGGTTAATTCCGGGAAAATCTGTGTCTTAAACCTACACCCTCAGAGCCTCAAGATCCTGCGAAATTCGGATCTGAAGCCGTACGTTGTGTTTATCGCGCCTCCGAGTCTCGAGAAGCTGCGGCAGAAGAGGATCAAAAATAACGAGAGCTTCAAGGAAGAGGAACTGAAGGACATAATCGAGAAGGCGCGCGAGATGGAGGATAAATATGGCCACCTGTTCGACATGCTTATACTGAACAACGATACCGATCGAGCGTACAACCAATTGCTCACGGAGATCAACTCGCTCGAGAGGGAACCTCAGTGGGTGCCCGCGTCTTGGATCCTTCAGTAACGTAAAGCAGTTCAAGACGAGGATTTCTGAGAACGCGTCTCTTTCAGGAAGAGGATCGGCGATCGGTAGGCCAGTATCTGCGATTTATCCGTTTGCGAGACAAGTGCTTTCAAGCAAATCTTCCAAGCGAGACTTCGAGCGAGTCTGCTAGAAAGCTTCGGTGGACCGGTTCTTCTACAGGTGCCTGTTACAATATAGTTTTATGTTTCTTACGCGAATCTTTTAAAATCTTTCCCCGATCCCTCCGGTTATACTGTACCGCAAGTATTACCCGCCTGACAGAGTCTTCCGCGTGTTGTCGTACTTTGGTGCCATGAGATGAAGGATCATCGGAAGCGGTTTTCGAATGGGAGGAAACAAATTGGAAGAAGAGGAAGTTCTCTTTTGCAGACTTTGCGTTCGGTATATGAAGAACAAGAAAAAAAAGTATATATCGTGTTTTATGTACGTTCGCGAAGGCTCAGGGTCGCGACGCCTCGGATTCGAGTAATCGTGTAATCAAATCACGGACGATTTCGTCGGCCGATGAACTTTTAAGTTTAAGTTTCGCGCTCGAATCTCCCGGTGCCGCGGTTCGTTGCCTACGTCTCTCTACCTACCTTATTGACGTCTCGAGGTGTCTCGATCCAGGCCGAGGGACGTTCCGTACGGAGTTTCCGAGGTGTATATTTACGGGGTTATATTCTCTCTCAGACTGACAAAATAAATAAAAAAAAAATAAATAAATAAAACGATTAATAAATATTATAGACACGCGAGTATATACAAAGGTATCATCCCGCGGTGCGTGAAAAGCACATCTGCCGAGCGTCTCGCTCCTTCTACCGTATATTAGCCCGTTCTTTCGTGAAGGAAGTGTACCTGACCTGATGTCTCTCCTGAAAAGTTGCAAAATTTCTAACGGGGGGCTCGTGAAAACGTTGTGTAATTTTCTATGATCACACGCATACAAAATATATAATAATACACGCACGTATACGTTTTGATAAATTTTGATAAGTGGAAGAGGAAAAACACTCGAGCTTTGATCTTTCCAAAAAGAAATCCCCATTCAGCGTAGCAAAATGCGTATTAATAATAAATGACATTAACATTATTAAATACATATATATATATATATATTTATATATGTATATCGCGCAAATTCCCGCGTAGGATTATTTTTTCTTGCGTTGTTTCTCGCGAACGAGATACGATATATCACGCAATTCAACTTTCAACTTCCCGCAAAAAATTAAAAAAAAAAAAAAAAACGATCATAGAGAGTCGCATATTTTTTCACGTGACTGTTGATTAGAAATTTTCCGCCGAATCCTGCTATATTCTAATATCCGCCAAAAGGAAAGCTGTGTCGTTGTAAAGAGAGAAAAAAGAGGGGAAGAAAAAAGTAAAAAAAATAAATAAATAAATAAATAAATAAGAAATACGAAACGACGATCCCACGAGCATAACGATGTACACACAATTGTATTTCTTCGAACGCAAGAGGAAAAAATAAACGCGCGTCTGCGATCTCGAAGAAGACTGCGAAACTCGCTAACCGTGTTTTACCGTTTTCGCCCTAGACGATTCCGTGTTTGTTTAGAGAGCAGAAACTCGTGTGTTTCTAAACCCGTAGATTCGTTAAACGCAAATAGAACTTAGGCTCTCGAATCTCCGTGCGAAATCCGAAAATGCAGGAAGAGCTCTCGGAAGTTTCGCGCACAAAAGAAATAATAATAAACCAAAAAAAAAATATACGATTGTTTCTCCTGAGTGTTTTTTTACAGGGAGCGATTATTGTGCGACGCGATCGAATAGGATAAAAAAAAAAGGTGTTTATCTGTGTCACTGTATCGCTACTTGAATAGGAATCGACGCGAAATAAAAAAGAAAAAAATAAATAAAGGAGTATAGAGTATATATAAAATAGAAGAGAAACCATCGTGGCGTTTCGTTTTCGGAAAATTAAACGGTAAATGTGCGGTAAAAAATGCATCGTAGCAAGTGCGCGACGTGTATCTTGCAGGTATCCTTGCGTTAGCAATAATTGTGTATTATCGGAAAAAAAAAAAAAAAATAAAAGTAACTCGTTTCTCCGTTTTTTCAATGACTTTGCGACACCGGTGAACTCTCGGCGAAAAGACGTGTCGTTCAGATTATGTATAGAGACGAAAACAGGTGGGCTACTGTATCGCGATTAGATCAACGTTTAGAGTCTCGATTCAGAGACAAATAAAAAAAAAAAAAAAGAAAAGATAGATGAGAATACACTAAATTCAATGTGAAACAGTTGTAAGTTGCGGACGCGCGAGATGTAGAATTTTTCGGTAAACAAATCATTATCTCGATTTTTAGATATTTAAAATCGGATATTTTCAAGGAGAGAAAGAGAAAGAGCCGATAAATACATGCGATCTTCAAATCGTCATCGTTCAAAATATCGTGTGCCAAGTATCAGACCCGCGTGCGAGAGAGGACGCGAAAGAAAAAAAAGCTGAGATGTGCCAAATATATAAAAATTCTGGATTATTTCCAGAAAGAAATCCAAATTTTCAAATGAGCTCAAAGGCACCTTAGAATTTGTCATTATATTGATTATGTAAATAATTGTGCACTTGTATAGAAAAGAGAGAGCGAGAGAGAGAGAGAGAGAGAGAAAGAGAGAGAGGCAAGAGAAAGGATATATAATTATTCTTGCGAAAATTAATCAATATTATTATTTTTTAATTATCATTATACTCGAATTATTATTAATATTATCGTCATCATTGTATCATCGTCCTCCTTTATCGAGTGATCATGACAGGACTCAGTTGCTGAACTCGCGAGAGATCCTCTACGTAACAGCGGATGTGTCTTGAATCTTAATGTCCAATCGGCGAATGAAATTATTTTTTGACAGCGACAAGTGTTTCTCGTTTTGACGAACTTGTACGATGGCTAATAATTATGTCACACTTATGATATTATTATACATCTGATTCTGATTGCCGTCATGATTATGTAAACAACAACAACAACAACAACGGTGAAAGTATGTACATTATTATTCGTATAATTATTGTTATTATTATTATTATTATTATTGGTATTATTATTAATTATATATTAATTTTATGTGTAAAATAAACGTACAATTTCAAAGAGAGAAGAAATATATGTATGATGAAGAAACATATACAAATGTATATACAATATAATTCTGTATTGCGAGAGTCAATACCCCAAATCTCGAGTATATTTATCCTAAGAGAATCCTGGTTGTAGAAAATAATATATATATATATATATATTATTTTCATTGTTAAAACTTTACTATCTAGCTGCATATATTAATATAATCTCTTCTTTTCGCGAAAGAAAATATTGACGAAATGATCCTCTCGTAATACTCTCGCATTGAACCCGACTTTATTCCCGTCTTCTCCTTTTAAAATTTACGTTTATCTTAATTTTTTCTTATGCGATCCTTTTTTACAAGAAGGGGATAAATGTATTAATATGTTTTCGTTATTCGTGCTTTCACGCTCGATAAAAAGAATTAACGCAACAGTTTCATTAGTATTCGGATCGTATTTTGTAGAGACTTATCTTATTTTTGCAATATTATATATATATAATATAATATAAATAATATAATATATATAATTTAATTATATATTATATATTATATATAATTTAATTATATTATATATATATATTATATTTTATTATATATATTATATATATAAATATATATAAATTTTATTTTATATTTTTGGTAGAGTTGTACAATATTATCTACGTAATATTGGTAGCAACGTCATTGGTTCATCAAGCTAGCGATGGTACAACAGAACTAGCCATATAACGTTCCTCAATTTATTATTAGGCCGGCCTCCCCGGATTCGGAATCTACGCTTTAGAACACAACCGGATTACCGTGAGCCTAATTATATCCTAATCGATATCGAAACTATCTCGTCAAAAACCTACGAGACTTCCTTTCCGCAGAATAATATCTAATTAATCCTTCCGAGAACGCTACCAATTTAATATACCCATAAAACATATTTCTCAAAATATCCTCCATTCCGAGCCGAAGAAAAGTGCTCCGAAGCCAACGGTCCAGGAGTTAACCCGCAAGAGTCCGTCTCCTCTCGTACACGAGAGACCACGACGACGATTCGAGTCGCTACCGTCGCCTACGGGGGCGGTGGGTGATGGTGATGGACGTGGTTGGTGGTGGTGGCGGTGGTGATGCGCATGTTTCTTCTCCGACGAGGAGACGGATCGATGCTGGAAATAGCTCGGCCCGCAGGAGAGAGTACGAGGTGAGTCGCCTTCGCTTTCGGCAGGGCCTCTCTCGGATGCCCGCCGACGCCGCCGTTCTTGCTCGTTTCCGGAAGGCAGATAAGCCTAGCCGCCGCCGCCGAGTTTGACAGTTCGCACTTTGACAGTTCGCGCGCTTTGACAGTTCGAGCGCGGCCGCCGCCGCCGCCGTCGTCGTCGGCATCGTTTCTTCTCTCTTTCTCTCTCTCCCTCTCTCTCTCTTTCTCTCTCTCTCTCTTGAATCGAGTACGCCGGCTACGAGTAACTCCGAGCCGGGGACCAAGCCGAGCGGGATGACGCGGAAAAAATGTGCGCCGTACCAGCGTGGCTGATGAGGCTGAAATCGTGAGTATATTCTTGTGTGTCATACACATGTTACATATGTATGTATATATATACCTGTACACGCCAAGGGCACCCCTTAGTGCTTCGGGGGCGACCGCCTAGGACGAGGGTGCCACCCCCGACGCTCTCTCGCTCCGGGAATTGATCCGCTCTGGAATCCCGAAGAGAGCGGAGTTGAGGAGAAACGCGAGAATTTTTTGTTCTTCTGCAACAGGCGAGACAGAGGGGTCCGGTCGATTCTTCAAGATTGACATCTGACGTAATACGGATTATTTCGCCGTGAATTAGGAAAAAAGTGGAGCACTCTAAGGAGGACGTCTCTGTCTCGTAGTAGTGTATTACATTATATATATATATATATATAGTTGCACGTTTAATTGGTTTCATTGCAAATCGATGTTTGCGCTTTTCCCCGTTGAGCTGCAGTTTACGAGGTAATAGATGTCCTTGGTAGAAAATATAGAACCGATTTAATGTTACATTTCCAATTGATATTCCGCGCATGCCAGGACGAGTATCGGCACCGATCGTAAGTCGCATTTATATATCGCCGCTTCGCGATGCTTCGACTCATTTGTCATCGCTCTCTCATATTTTATTTGATATCTTCATTTTAATTAGCTCGCGAGCCAGGTCCTTCGAAATTGCACTCTTTCGGTTCTTCAGCCTTTCCTTAAACATTTATATGCTCTCGCAGGCGAAATGTCAAAGATTTGCCGTCTTGCGCGGAGAAGATCGAACGTTCGCGATTATTTCCCGGGATGTCGGTGGAGTCTTTCCTTTTTTTCCGGTGAAAGATAAAATTAGCACGTCTCGTGTTCCAGTTCGAGGCGCTCGATGAGTAGCTGACAATCGCCGACAGAATACTTTTACATAGGATGCGCTAATGCTTGCCGGATAACGCCTGATCGATTTCCCGGCGAGAGAAAGATCGATGAGGCTTTTTCGTCTTCTCGTTATCTTATCCCTTTGCAATTGCAATTGCAATTGCATCGCATCGGGAGAAACGTTTCGTTTCAGCGGTTCCCTCCGGTTGACACACCAGGCGTTTATAAAGTATTGATTTTTATTGCCCCGCGTGTGTTGCGCATTATTTTATCCGTTCGCTTCCTGGACGAAATTCTTTCCCGTAGAAGAAGGTTGAATTTTTGCGCTTGAAAAATCGAGAAGGAAAAGAAAGCGACCCTGAATTATCCGAAAGAAGGAAAAACGCGGATGTTACTCTACGGTTTTTTATGTCGTGGGATCGTAAATATAGGTGTCGTTTTACGTACTGAAGTGAATTTTTGCGACCACGTAAAGCGAATATATTCAAGTCGTGTACGGAACAATTGTGTATACAATTGACGGGATAATAAGTCACTCATCTTGCACAGAAACTTCGAAACAGATTTTGAAGGTGGAAGTGACAGGTGCATAGAACTGCCGGGAAAATCCGCGAGGAATGACGTTTCAGCCGGCTGGTTTTAGTCGAAGCAGTTATGTGACAGATGCTTTTGAATATTGAATGTGGATCTTATCGTTTGCAGTATGACCTAATTAAATGATAGGTAAGACGGACAGCTCTCTATCGAACTTCGCTCAATAGAGCGAATCTCTATCACATCCTTTTTTTTTTTTTTATTTTTTTATTAACGCCAACCATTTCTTTATTCGCGCAATTGAAAATATAATAAAGTTAATAACGGCGACACACGTTGAAATAAAAAATTATTAAATAAAAGTCCAATAAAAAAATAAATAATAAAAAAATGATTTTTCAAAGCGACACATTTCTAGCAAATTTTATTTTCGAATTCTTTCACAACACTTTAACTTTGCGTGTTGCGGTATATATATATATATATATATGAAATAAAAATGTTCTAAATATAAATGTAACTTTTCCATTTGTTTTTCCATCAAACTTTGTCTTTCACAGAATAACTGACTTTACAGACACGATATGTATCTATATAAATATTTTTTGTAAAGATGCATTCAAACAGATAAACATGTTTATGCCGATGTGTGTTTATTTGATTTAATACATAAAAATTACGAGAAGTGAAATTAATAATCATGATAATTGATACGACGATAATTGCAATAATTAATATTAGAAATGTTAATCGAATTTAAGCCTCTTTCTGCTAATGATAATTGCAACATTAATTACATTCCGATCGAGTTGAGTGAACAGTGCTTCCATTATCGAAGATACTAAAATATATATTTTATATTATGTATTGCTCCTATTTTTCCGAAATATATGCTTTTGCGTGGAACATCTCGTCGATAGTATCGATCCATCGAACGATCAGATATTATCGGGACGAGAGATCCGGCAGACCGTAGTTGGATTTTTAATTAACTGGGATGAGTTTAGGCACATCAAATATTGATGAGATGCATAATTTATTTTCGTTAGACTGCGAAGAGCAAAGGAGGTGCTAATACAAGTCGCAGTCGATCTTAATCGCTCGAGTTTAGAACGTGTACAGAATCAGTTTGATCTGAGTTAAGGTGCTTGAACAATACTTGAGGAGAAACTCTTCGCGACGATTTCTCGTTACCCAGTATTTGCTTTTTCCCTTTAAAATTATTTGCCGCTATCAAATCTGTGCTTAATACGATGACACTGTACATCTGTGATTGTGAACTTACATTAGAACTTTGATTTTAAATTTTCTGTACATTTTTTCCATTCTCTTCTTTTGTATTTGTAGTTTTAATATTATATATATATATATATTTTTTTTTTAATATATTATTTTTATGTACAATTTTAAATGTATTATTTTTAATATATAATTTTCTAATTTTCTTATTGTGCTCTCCTTTTGAATAAACCCTACAATTTATATTTAATATAAAAATATTTAATATAAAAATATTTAATATAAAAAATATTTACTATATTTAATATAAAATTTAATATAAAATTTGATATAAAAACATATTTAATATAAAAAAAAATGAAACAAAATAAAAAAATAAAATAAAAAATAAAATAAACAAAGTTTTTATATTACGAAATAACAAAATTTAAAAAACAAAAAAAATTATTTAGGCTCTCCCTCTTAGAAAAAATTCTGCGGACGCCCATTAATAACGCAATTAAAATTAATTAGTAGTATCTACGCAATTTATATAATTTTCTTGTTGAAATATTTGTGAAAGTAATTTCTTTCGCTCTCTCGCTCCTTCGTCTTTCACGTATCGATTATAGTTTCATGACACGTACACAAGCTCATTCCCATATACGTGTATCGCAGTGAAATAGTGGAGAGTGCTACTTCTCGTAACAGCAGTTGCTCGGCAAACTGTGACGGTAACATAAGGGTGCGATATAGAAGGGTGTCGTTACCACTGTACGGAATGACGCACAGCACGTGGGCTAACGTCGTAAAAAAGACAAAATGTCACATTTCAGAATTTATGATCCGACTTCTCTTCATCTCTTCCATCTTCTTTAATAATTGCGTTGGTATCTCCCTTTTATCAAGGGATTAACTCTTTCATTTACTCTGGTTTTTTACAAACTCTTGTTGCAGAAATCTTCATCATTTTTATACGCACGTGGCACATATTATTTTATTGATCACGCGTTACGTTAATATTTTTATATGTATATATAAATCATTAATAAATTTTGGATGTAAAATAATTTTTATTTTCTTATATAATAATTTTATTGTATAATAAAATAAAAATTACTTAATAATAAAATATATAATACTAAAATAAAAATTATTTAACATTCAAAAATTATATTAATGAAATTTTGCCGACACAAAAGTTTGATGCACCAATCAAATTAAAATGCAAATACGCACATGTACGATAAGCTTGTTATTAGTATATTAACCTGCGTAACCTGTGTTTATTTGCAATCCATTGCACGACATGTTTCACTTAGCATAAGATAATAACGTGAGATCAAAAAGGATTAGGAAAACACCTGTAAATTGTTATACGGCTTTCGCTTGTTAGCTTGACAAGATGGAACTGTTTGTCAGTTATTCGTGATTAATTCTCGAGAATACATTTATAATAGTTATCTAACGTCGTAAAAAAGACAGAATGTCACATTTCAGAATTTGTGATCCAACTCCTCCTCTTTATCTCTTCTATCTTCTTTAATAAATGCGTTGGTATCTCTCTTTTATCAAGAGATTAACTCTTTAGTTTACTCTGGTTTTTGTAGAAACTAGTGAAAATTCTAATTCTAATTTGTACACAAAATTCCTTTAAAAATGCATCGTACTGTTAACTGAAAACGATTGAACCAACGTTAAAATGTGAAGTATCTCGGAAGAATCTCGGTGAAATTTCGGTTAAAATGTAACCGATCTTTCGATTTTCTATTTCAAGCCTTAATCGATTTCGACTTTGACAGGTTGTTTACGAGGAAGTTGGACGTCGAGCATTTTTAAGAAACGCGTTCTCACTCAAACTTATTTCGCTTTATTTCGACTGACAGTTATTTTTGCTCGGCTCTCGAATAACTTAAGGAACGAGGGAAAAACACGTTCGGTTACTGCACTGCTATCGATCGGCCTCTTTTGGCAATGATCCCGCGCATACATGTATTGTACATAGTCGCTATTCCGGGACACAGATTTCTATCCGATGATAAATTGATTCGGTGATTTGACATCTCGGTTTTTGCGGCGATTAAAAATTGTGGAGGCACCTCGAGACAAGATCGTGATTATCTGTTATATCCGAATAGACATCGTTAACATTTTCTAAAATTTTTTTAGATTTCTCATTCGATAGTGTTCATAATAGACATATTTTTTTCTCTAAATTCAGGTATATGAAAAAGGCCAGTCGTTTTAAATTCGTTTATACTTATTTGGAGCATTTCGAGCCTTCAATTTTCAGTAGTATATTAATAAAATTAGTGAAAAAAACCAAGTGTAAAAATCTCGTTCTTTATTCTTGATAAGTCCTCACAACCAGTGAAGACGAAATGGAGAACAAGTCTTATTGAAAATAAGTATAGAAGAATTTAAAAATAATTTGGTTGCACCTAATATTTGTGTCTGACTCTCACTAGCCCTTTTCTACTTAAATTTGTATTTATATATTTTTATTTATTATATGGGGGTTTTTTATATAAATATATATTCTTATATATCTTTTCCTGCGGAGTAAACATTAAGTTTTCATTTTTTTATTTAAGTTTCAGACAAATTAAAAAAATGAAACTTAATGGATATTTTCATTTTTTCTAATTTGTCCGAAAATTGAGGAAAAAAATAAAAACTTAATTTTTATTTCTCGCTTTAGAAAAATGTTACTCCTCAAGGAGGGATATAAGAGTATGTGTGTATGTTTAGAAACCTCCCTTAATTTTTGACAAAAATAATTTTCTCAATTTCGCGCTTATTTAGATACACCCTGTATAATAGAACCCTTTTTGATTTATTATTTATTCATCTTGCGATATTCATTTTATCATAATTTTTCTATCATCGTGATAAGCAATGTTGTGTTTAGATAATTTTTAAATTAGCTAGATAAAGATGAGATAAAAATATTCATCTTAAATAAGATGAAGATGATTTTGTTTTAAATGCTATGATTCTAAACCAAAATTATCTGAAAATTATTCTAGATTAATTTAGTAAAGATAATACTTTTTCTTAAATCTAAGATGCAGATATAAATATTGTACATATTTTTATTATATCTATATAACGATAAGGTGATATCAAAGTTTAATCTAGATGATCGGCTATATAATTTTATTTACATAACAGCAAACACTGGTAATAGGAAATCTAATATTTGCAGTATTGTACTTAGATATTTTAAAAATTATCTAGCTAAACATGAGATGAAAATATTCATCTCAGATAAGATGAAGATGATTTTGTTTGAAATAACAGCAAACACTGGTAATAGGAAATCTAATATTTGCAGTATTGTACTTACATAATTTAAAAATTATCTAGATAAAGATGAGATGAAAATATTCATCTCAGATAAGATGAAGATGATTTTGTTTGAAATAACAGCAAACACTGGTAATAGGAAATCTAATATTTGCAGTATTGTACTTAGATAATTTAAAAATTATCTAGATAAAGATGAGATGAAAATATTCATCTCAGATAAGATAAAGATAATTTTGTTTGAAATAACAGCAAACACACAAATGCGGTTTATTTTGCCCGGCTAACCCAGATTTCTGGTTGCAGAAGCCTCTCGCACACCACGGTAGGTCTTAGAGGATGCACAAGCTAGCCAAGGGCCTGAAGAAGAAGAAAAAGCCGAAGAAGGGCAAAAAGGGGGCGGAGGAGGAATTCGATCCGGAGGAGCTCGAGCGTTATCGGCGCGAGCGGGCGGAGGCCCAACAGAAAGTCGAGGAGGCTGGCGAGTCGACTGGCGGCAAGCAGGTCGCCGGTTCCGACGAGTGGAAGAAGTTTCAGGCACTGACCGCCGGCGTCGACTCGGTTCTGCGCAAGACCCAGGATGACCTCGACCGGATAAAGTCTACCTCGTTCTTCCAGCGTAAGGCGCCGTTGGAAGAGAAGAAGCCGCAGGAGGAGGCGGACCAGGCCGAGGCCGAGGCGAACAAGTCCAAGAGGTGGGTGGGCTTCGACGCGGAGGGTAACCCAATCGAGGCTGTTGAGGTCGAGGGTCAAGACAAGAGGAAGAAGGAGTCGGTGGTCCACGAGGACGGCTTCGTCGACGTGCCGGAGGACGAGGATGAGCAGGAGGACTCCGCCGACGAGGACATCTTCGATACCACTTACGTCGACGTTCTCCAGAACATCGATGTTCAATTAGCTTATATACCAGACAGCCCGACCGAGGAGGAAGCCGGCGACGATCCGTTCGACACCACCAGCGCCGACAAGGTTCTGAAGACAGTCGATAAAAAAGGAAATAGATTAGTCAGTCTAGGAAATGCAGTCGAGGTGCTATCGGGAAGGATCGATCACGTGAGCACCTGTAAACTTACCAAGAGAGGACGACCGAGGCTCCAGCAGGATCTACTGTTGGACGACTTCGAAGAGCCGGAGCAGCTTCCGGAAGCTGTTGGGGCGGAGCCGGTGGAGATAGAGAGGACTCTTCTGGACGACGACAGTGATCTTCCCGACATCCCGATCGATTTAACCAAGTTACCGCCTGTTTTACCGAGACCAGTCACCCCAGTCACTCCTCTTCAAGAAGATACAACATCGACGGAGAAAGTCTCCAACGGCCCGTTGGATATCTCCGAGTTCGAGATACTGAAAGAGAAGACCGTCTTGGAGGAGATTCCCGACTTGGACGACGCCGAGTTCGATTTAAGCGCCGCGGCCGATGCTGAACCGGCTCACCTTGAAGAGGCCGAAGATCCGTTCGCCGAGAAGGAACCAGAAACCGTCGACTTTCAGACGGAGATAATCGAGGCCAGTTTCGAAGCGGCCACCTTCGTCGACGAGGTCGATCCGTTCGACACCGCATTCGCGGACAACATCTTGCCGGGCAAGACCGAGTTGAAGTTCATCGAGAAGGAGCTCGAGGAGCTGCCCGTCTCGGAAGTGTCCATCTCCCTGACAGATCCAGCTGGCTTCAACAGGGATTACGAGACCGGCCTGCTGAAATTGGAGAACGAGCAGGAGGACGATGACGTTCATCATCAGGAAATCAGTCTACAGTCAGTCAAGAAGGACCTGCTAGGCGGCTCCGCGACCGATCTCAGCCAGTTGGCGGATGAACCAATTGCACCAGTTGAAGAGATCACGTACGTCGATCCGTTCGACACATCCGCGGTGAAGGAGCTTCCACCTGGCAAGACAGAGCTCAAGGTCTTGGAGAAGGAGCTGCTCGGCGAACAAGCCGGCGGCTACGTCGAGGACGACAACGAGGACGACGACTTTGATCCCAGGAAGGATGAGGAACCATCAGTGAGACAGCCGCCACCCGCCAGACCACCGGTACCAGTTAAACCCGTGTTCGAGGTCAACTTCGACGAGGAGGAGACCAAGGTCGAAGCGACCCCGACGAATCTAGGGAGGAAGACCTCGCGACCGGAGATTCTTGAGCTAACTCCGTCCAAGGCTGTCGCGTTTGAGCTGCCGACGCCGTCGAAGAGGCCGGATCTTCTCGCGACCACCGAGGAGGAGAAGAGTCTACCTTCCAAGCCGCTTACGCCGTACTACTCGCAGAAGTCCATAGAGGAGTCGCTGCCGTTGGAGGACGAGGAGGTGGACGTCGATCCGTTCGACACCAGCTTCGTCAACAGTGTCGCGCCGGGCAAGACAGAGTTGAAACTCATCGAGTCGGAGCTGCTGAGACAGGAGCCCAGGTTACCCCACAGCTTGAGCGATCACGATTTCGATCCGAGATCCGTCGCGGAACCCATCAGGAGGCAGAGCGATTTTACCGCCACTTCGGTTGCTCCGAGCAGCCTGAAGCTCGAGCAGCTGCGATCGTCGCTGATACAAAAGGTTGAAGAAGAGGTGATCGTGAGGCAGGAACCGCAGAGGCAGGAGAGCTTGCTGGACGCGGAAGTCGAGGTCGACGCGAAGCCTCTGACGCCCAGGATCGAGAGCAAACCCATCGAGGAGGAGGAGATCTCGTATTCCGATCCCTTCGACACCTCCATTGCGATTAATATCCTTCCCGGCAAGGCGGAGCTCAAGATTTTGGAGAGCGAGTTGGAGCAGATTCCTCAGCAACCGCCGCCGCGTCCTATTCAACTGCCTGCAGTGGTACCAACCATCCCGGTAGTTCCGGTAGTCCCGGAAATCGACGACTTCGATCCGAGAGCGGACGAGGTAAAGGAGTCCAAAGACTTCTTGTCCCTGGACGGGCAGGATCCCGGGGATAAAGTGCTGACGCCGCTCCAGAACAAGGACTTCAGCTTGGACGAAGACGTGGATCCTTTCGACACGAGTTTCGCGACCATCGAGCCTGGACGAACCGAACTGAAGCTGCTCGAGTCAGAATTGATGAAGTAATTCAGCTTCGTTTCTTCGATTTCCTTTAACAATCTGATTGTCGCGTTGTTCCAATATAAGTGTACACGTTGTGAACCTCTCTCGCTTCAAGAAGGACTAATTAAGTCTATTTGTTGCAGTAATATCTCTGTGTTAAAGACTTGAAGTCGTTCCGAATGACACTTGCATTTAATATCGCAGAGCAGACACGAACAGACTGAAATCGGTCTATCCTACAATCTGATTGTCGCGTTGTTCCAATATAAGTGTACACGTTGCGAATCTCTCTCGCTTCAAGAAGGATTAATTGAGTCTGTAAACTCTATTCGTTGCAGCAATCTCTCTGTGTTGAAAGCTTGAAACCGTTCCGAATGACACTTGCATTTAATATCGCACAGCGGACACGAACAGACTGAAATCGGTCCATTCCACTTATATTCCTGATTGAAGTTTCTCAAGCCCAACTCCTTGAGTTCGATCATCATGGAGTCCAAGGGCGGCAATCCGTTCCTGATGGACGACTACGCGGCCGAGCCGGTCCCGCAGACTTCCAATCCCTTCCTCCAGGATTTCGCCGACACGTCGACTTCCGGCGGCGACGTTCAGAATCCCTTCCTGAACTTCGCCAGCGATCAGACGTACGAGCCGCCGGCGGTGTCCATCGACTCCACCAACCCTTTTGCCAGCTTCGGCATCGAAAGTAACGTCCCGGACGCCGGATTCGGGGCGGCCAGCGATACGCCAGCGACCAACATCTTCACTAGCCAATCAGCCAACATCTTCGCGCCGGACGACGACGCGAGTCTGGATCTATTCGGCACGATTACGACGACGACGCCGCCGACGACGACGACGACGTCGACGACGTCGACGATCGAGGAAAAGCCGCCGACCCCGATCGCGAGTCCGCCTCGGCAACCCGCAGCGACACCTCCCTCGAGGAACGGGAAACCGCCGCCATCGAGACCGCCACCTCCCAGACCGCAGCCGCCGCCGCCACCGCCACCTGTCAAAAATACGAAGGACCTGATATTGTCGGTGACAGGCGCGATGGACGCCACCTCGAACCATCTTCTGGATCGCTTGCAGATGACGCGGACGCCCAGTCCGACGCTGATGCACTCCCCATCGCCCACTCCGGAGCATAGTTTCGCCGATCTCCTGGACGTTGACAGCAACGTGCCGGATCTGATTCCGGATGACAGCGCGAGAGCCGCGGAGCCGCCGCCGGCCAATCGGGACATCATGGACCTGTTCGACGCGCCAAATGCGGATGACGTCACCGCGTCCGCCATCTTCTCCACCTCGATGACCACCGCGGGGACCACCAGTCTCGTCACCGGGATACCCGCGAAACAGGAGAATCCCTTCGCGAGTATGGCCGAGGAAACGGTGTCGCCGGTGATCCCGCAAGCGCAGCCCGCTTTTGGAATGGAATACCCGGAGGAATACCCTGAAGTCAGTGACGAGAAACGGCCTTCGATCACCACCGCGAGTCCTTTCGCGGACATCGAACCGGAAGTGCCCGTCACTTCCGGTCTGGATTTCGCGGAACCCGCACCCGTTTCGGCAGCGGCTGCTGAGCTCTTCCAAGGTTGGTTGGAACAAAATTTCTTTCGTCTTTTTTTGGTGAAAAAATCGAAGAGAACGAGAGAAATAATAATTATAAAATATGAAATATTATCATAATTAAATGGTTGTTTTCGTAATTAATTGATTATTTTCATTATTTCGACCGTTTTGATCATTTTAGTCATTATAATCGTTTTATTCATTTATATTTTGATCACTTTATTTATATTGTAATCATTTTATTATATTGAGTAAAATGATTAATAAACAATTTAAAATGATTAAAATAATAAAAGAAATGTTTTTATTATTTCGATTGTCTTGTAACTATTAAAATAATTAAAGCTCTTTAAACGATTAAATAATTAAAATAATCATTTAATTATTCTGATTATTTTGATTATATTTATTATTTGACCAAACAGGAGTTGCAATATATCTTTTCCGTGTTACAATAGTGATTCATTATAATATCAGGCACATGATAAACTGATAAATTTATTGATCAGATTATTAGCTAAACTACGTATTATGTACAACGTAAAGTCAAGTTATATCAAATCTGTTTACTATAGTTACATTTCTAGTGAACTTTCTCGATAACGAACAATTATGCTTTAGCAAAATAGTTTATTGAGTTGTAGTGTAATTTAAAATAACATTATACTCTTTGAGTACAATGTTATTTCGAGTTACAATACAATTTCTTTTGCTGTTTGCTACATTGTTATTTAAAAAAATAATAGTTTCATTTAAAAAATTGAAGTAACCTCGCTATTTTATCAAACAAATGTATTTGGCCAATTTTTGTTATTTAATTGCTGATAACATTTTTCCTTTCTTCATTCATTTTGATCGTTTTGATCATTTCAGTTATTATTATCGTTTTATTCATTTATATTTTGATCATTTTATTTATATAATATTAATCATTTTATTATATTGAATAAAATAATTAATAAACGATTAAAATAATTAAAATAATAAAAGAAAAATGTGTTATTATTATATTAATAATAATAATAGATTGTTTTGTAACTATTAAAATAATATCTAAACGACTAAATAATTAAAATGATCATTTAATAATTCTGATTATTCTAATCAGGAGGAGAGCCCATTTCCGTCAGTGCTGACGTCAATTTCTTCTCCATGAGCGAGAGCGCCACAGCGACGCCATTCGGCGTACCAGAAGTCACTTCCACGCCTTTTGCGGCCGCGGCGACCACTCAACCCTTATTCGCGACGGCGGAAATCGCGCAGTCGCCCGGCCGGGACGCCTTCGCCTCGGATCTGCTGGGTGATTTCGGCGAACCGACCAGGGAGATCGTCGACGGCGGTTTGATCTCCACCAGTCCGATTCCCGGGGCGGAGTTTCCCGGAAACGAGGCTTACCGGCCCGAGGAACAGCTGGACAACTTCGCCGCCACGACTAAAGCGATCGAGGAAACCGGCGACTCGTTCGACGCCTTCGCGTCCAAGTTCGACAAGGCCGCCGAACCGGAAATCAACGGGGGAGATCCCTTCCTGGACGCCTTCGGTGGACCGACCGCCATGGACACCTCCAGCGATGGTGAGATTTAGTGTAGAATTCAAAAAATTAATTTCTATTTCACGACCAATTTATATTTATTTAATAAATCTTACACTTTGGGTAACAGGGTGTCCAGCAGATTCAATGAAAACAATTCCCCGACTTTTTCAGATTTTCCAAAACCGGAAATTTTAGTATTGTTATAGTCAATATATAATAGTCATATTATAGTCAATATGTAATAGTCAAATTATATATTTTTTCAAATATATAATTTTTTATATCTATATGATAAATCAATTAAATGTTAAATCATAAAAAAAAATTTTAATCAATTTTACAATCTGCATCATGTACGATAATCGAAACAAACATGTCACTATAAACTATTTAAATAATCACCTTTTTTATTTATATTATATCAAATTTTTTAGTTTTGTCTATCAAACATTGAAATAAAATAACACGATGATGAAAATATAAATTAGCGAACATGCTGTAGATGATTTTTGACAATATACAGAAAATTAGCGTGCTAGGAGTCAAGGAAAAGTTTATATTTATTTAATAAAAAGTTTCAAATTATTGAGACAAATGTAGAATAATATGAAAAAATTCAGATAAATAGTAAAATTTCTTGACTTTTTTCTCTGACAATTTTTTATAAAATTCCCTGACAATGCCTGGTTTTCAAATTTCTCTGACCACTAGACACCCTGTGTAAGAATTAAAAAAATAAATAGTATTACACAAAAGTAATTACACAAATTTAATAAAGCTTACACTTTGTGTAAAAATAAGAAAAATAAATACTATTACACAAAGCAATAAATTACACAAATTTAATAAATCTTTGTGTAAGAATTAAAAAAATAAATATTATTACACAAAGCAAACTACACAAATTTAATAAATTACACAAAGTGTAAGATTTATTAAATAAATGTGCACAACCAGCATTGGTCGTGAAATATATTTATTCTTTTTATTCCTTGACTAGCGATATTAAAGAATCTTAATCATTAATGAGTAGAATAAGTTGTATTTAATTATTTATCGCAAGTTGATATTTTTTCAGTTTGGGGAGACTCGTCAGTGACCGGTTCGGAAACGGCAATCACCGGTTTCGGCGAATCTGATGGTTTCGATTCCTTCCTGAGCATGACAGCTCCGCCGCCGGACACGAAAGTGAAAAGATCCGAGTCTGCAGAGTCGGACGAGGGACCGGACTTCAGCGTATTCATCAAGTGAGTGAGAGAGAAAATAAAAGCGTAATCGTTCATGCGTTAAATCGGAGATGAAACCATTTCGAGTTTATAATAATAATAATTATTATTATAATCACAGCTGTCAAATGAAACTTGATATTGCTGGAAGATTAAAAACTTTCTTACAGCATTTTCTCTGAATTATCACATATTTATTGGAATCAGTAAAAAAATTAAGCATTTGCTCTCCTCTTGAAAATAAACACTAAAATTTATTTGCATATTTAATATAAAAAGATAGCAAAAAAAAAAGAAATAGATTTTAAAAAATTAAGGAAGAATAAAAATTAAAAAACAAAAAATATAAATTATGCCCCCTTCTGGAAAAAATCCTGCGGACCATCCTGCCCATGGTCGGATAAGATAATAAAATTATCACAGATTAGATAATAAAATGTATAACGCTTCTATTTCTCTTCGATATAAATATGTATTATATCTAACATCGTCTTTGATTCGATTCGAAGACCGAAGGAGGGAGATCAGCTGACGATGACAGAAGGCGGACCCGTACCTACGTTAGCGCCGCCGCCTAAAAGTCCGCAGGTGGTCGCGTACGCGGATTCCTCGCCGCGTTTCAATCCGTTCGATAAATCCGGAATTGCGCAAGATGCCGTGGTATCCGAAACCGCTCAAACTGCCGAGATGGCCAGGACAGATTCCCAGGTATTCGCATAAATGCCACGTCGCATTCCTCAATTAATTCTCTCTATCTCACCATAACATTTTTTCCCCTTTAGGTAAACATCATTAAGCAAAGTAATGTAACAAAATCAAAGAATCATACATTAATTTAAAATGCAAAGATATATTATAAATTATATACACATATATAAAAAATATATATAGATATTTACATTTAATATTTAAAATATTAAATATATATATATATATATATATATATTTTTTTATATAAAATACATTTTTTTAGAAAAATATATAGATATTGAAATTTAAATTTAAAATATTAATATATATATTTTTTTTTTATATAAAATAAATTTTTTTTAGAAAATATATAAATATTTAAATTTAATATTTAAAATATTAATATATATATATATATTTTTTTTTATATAAAATAAAATATTTTTTTTAGAAAAATATATAGATATTTAAATTTAATATTTAAAATATTAATATATATATATTTTATATAAAATAAAAAATTTTTTAGGAAACCCCGCCTACTCCTCTCTTCGACGAGGACGTGAGCCAACCCTTGGAGGACTTCCGAGGATAACTTACACCGGGGACGGTTGGGAGATGCAGTTGCGACAGCCGAACAAGAAGAAAATCACGGGGCAACGATTCTGGAAGAAGATCTTCCTGAAACTCGTCTATCAGGCCGACAGCCCGATCCTCCAGCTGTTCAACAAACCGGACGACAAAGATCCTTTTCAAGAATTACCCTTGCTCGCCTGTTATTCGGTTTCGGACATCGGCGCTCAGCAATTCGATCAGTACGGGAAGATCTTTACAGTGAAGCTACAGTACATCTTCTACAAGGAGAGACCTGGCGTGCGACCTGGCCAGGTCACGAAGGCTGAAAGGCTGACGAACAAGCTCAGCCAGTTCGCGGCATATGCTATACAAGGAGATTACCAGGGCGTCAAAGAATTCGGCAGCGATCTGAAGAAGCTGGGTCTTCCCGTGGAACACGCACCTCAGGTGCGAATTATTTTATTCTCGAATCGAAAAGATGAAGATATATGATGCTGTCATATTTTGCAAAATTAATTTAAATTTAAAAATACAGGACAAAACATTTTTAAAATCTTTGACAAATTTCCTTAAAAGATAAAATAATTCTCGAAAATATTTTTTAAATATTTCTATGTCCGCCTTTTCATGTTTAAAAAATATTTTCAGAAATATTTTTGGATATAGGTAAACTAATATTTCAAAAACTCCGTTTCGCAGATCTCGCAGCTATTCAAACTCGGTTCCCAATGTTACGAGGACATGAAACAGTTCTCCTGCGCCATCGAGGAGGCTCTCTTCAGGTTGTCGGTGCACCGCGATCGTGCATTAACTTACAAAATGGAGGAGGTCCAGGTAACTGTCGTGGACGAGCTGTATGTCGAGCAGAATTCGGAGGGTCACGTGGACAAACAGATCGCGCGAGTTCGTCTCTTCTTCCTGGGATTCCTCTCCGGTAAGTTTTCTCCTCAGGAAATCAACGAAAACGTGCATTTTTTAATAGCAATATTTTTTTCTCTCGAATAAATTACGTCCCATATAGCAGAAAATATTTTTGAAATCTTTTAAAAATATTTCTTAAAAGGTAAAATAATTCTCGAAAATATTTTTAAAATGTTTCCATGTCCGCTTTTTCATGTTTCAAAAATATTTTTGAATATAGATTTAAACTAATATTTCAAAAATATGTATCGAATATTGAAGAAAATATTATCTGAGCGATAAAGAAGAAACTTTTAAAAATATTTTTTTAAAAAATATTCTTTAAACCATTTTAAAATGTTTTTATGCAATAAATTTTATAGAAATATTTAGAAATATTTTTTTGAAATATTTTGTGCTGTATATAGTTTTTTGTAAAATTTTTAAATCATTTTAAAATATTCTTAAAACTATTTTAAAATGTTTTTATGCAATATTTTATAGAAATATTTAGAAATATTTTTGGAAATGTTTTTTGTAATAAATTCTCTTCTCAGTTGAAACTGATTTGACACAAATGTTCGAACTCTTTTCAAGGTATGCCCGACATAGAATTAGGAATAAATGACATGTGGCGACAGGGTAAAGAAGTCGTCGGCAGACACGACATTATTCCGGTCGTGACGGAGGAATGGATTCGTCTGGAGAACGTCGAGTTTCATGCCTGCGTCCAGCAAGACGAGTACGAAAAGTCTCGGATAATCAAGTACGTATAATGAATCGTAAATTTTTATTACGGTAAAATCGAGAGATAAATGCGACTTTGCGAATAATTTCAATTTCATTCTTTGTTCTTGAAATTGCGATAATTAATCGATAAGCTTATATCAATATCGTGATGGAATTAAATTTTTATATCTACACAGTAGGAAAATTTGTGTTTTCTTGTTCAAAATGGTCCCCGTTAAAATTTTTGTATTAAATATTATATATTAAATTATTAAAATTGAAAAAAACACAATATGCATCTGTTTTTATTTAATTTTACACAATAAATATATTTTGTTTTATTATTTTTAGTGACAAGATTTATCTGTTAAAATTTACAGAAAAAATGTTGATTTTTGAAAATATAAAATTAACATATTTTTAGTTAATTTTACACAAAATTTATTTTCAATTACTTGAAGTTTTGCATTTATTTAGTGTTAAAATATTAACACAATATTTGTGTCTCCATTCAAGATATTACGTTAAATTAACACAAAAATTCCTGTGGACATGTGTTAAACTTAACACAAATTTTTCAAAAGTGTAATAGTGAATGCTGTGGATGAAATGTATCTATATTCCCTGCTTTAAAAAAATCAATACGAATTTATTCTCGCCTTCTAATCCGCAAACATGCATGCGAAGCTATAAATTGAACTTATTACTAAACACTTGCACTAACACGTCCTAAGGTTCAAGCCGCCTGATGCATGTTACATTGAATTGATGCGGTTCCGTGTAAGACCGCCTAAAAACAGAGAGCTGCCACTTCAGCTAAAAGCTGTTATGTGCGTTACTGGGAACAAGGTGAGCTTTTTTTTCTCCCCTAAGAATTTTTCAACCAATTTTTTCATTCTCTCGATCTTTATCATTTATAAATGGAAGCTAAAGAAAAACTTGTAGTTCTTACTCTTTGCTTTTAGCAAATGCGTCTTCGCGTATCTTTCTTATATATATCATTTTGCTCTGCGATATATATATATATATATATATTTACTTTTTATTTTCTCATAAAAATATAACCATTGATACGAGTTTGATAAAAGTTTCAGTCCAAGTTTTCTCTTTCTCCGGCCCCAGTGAACTTTTGCGCAGACACGTCTGACCTCTTTCTACGTGTTATTAGGTGGAGTTGAGGGCGGATATTCTCGTGCCAGGTTTCGCGTCCAGGAAACTGGGCCAGATACCATGCGAAGACGTGATGGTTCGCTTTCCCATACCCGAATGCTGGATTTATCTCTTCAGGGTGGAGAAGCACTTCAGATACGGCTCGGTAAAATCGGCGCACAGGAGAACCGGAAAGATCAAGGGTATCGAGAGATTTTTGGGCGCCGTCGATACGTTAGAGCCGCAATTGATGGAGGTCACTTCCGGTCAGGCGAAATACGAGCATCAGCATCGCGCTATCGTATGGAGGATGCCCAGGCTGCCTAAGGAGGGACAAGGTATTTCTTTTTCAATATTTTTATATCTTCCTATTATTCTAATTAGTCTCTGTAAAAAATCTCTGTGTTTTTATTTATATTTAATTTCTATTTGGGTATTATTATGCCGCAAAAGGATAAAATTTAATTCTTTTATAGGAATTTAAATAATACATCTCAATAATATATTTAAAAATACATATATTTTTAAATATATTTTTATATTTAATATAAAAATATATTAAAAAATATATTTAATATAAAAAATATATTTAATATAAAAAATATATTTAAAAATATATTTAATATAAAAATATATTAAAAAATATATTTAATATAAAAAATATATTTAAAAATATATTTAATATAAAAAATATATAAAAAAATATCTTGAAAAATATTAGAAAATATATTTCAAAAATCTGAGCTGCAGAGTTTGAATATACCGCGTGTTCGAACATCACGCAATCAGTTTTGTTGGCTCTCCTCCAATTTCGTTTTATTTCCAGGCGCGTATACGACGCATCAGCTGGTTTGCCGTATGGCTCTCACATCTTACGATCAGATCCCCGAAAATCTCTCGGAGTACTGTTACGTGGAGTTCACGATGCCGGCGACCCAGGTCTCCCATACAACCGCGAGAAGCGTCAGTCTTCAAAACAGTGACAGCGATGCCCCTCCGGAGAAGTATGTCCGAAATTTGTCGCGTCACGAGTACAGGTAAGGTTTTATCTCGATACGATTTTATCTTGAAAAATGCTAGATTGCATTGCAAAAATGCAATTTTCTGAATATTGCGCTACGTTAAAACGCTTGGATATTAATCTGCGTCGCTCAAATCTTAATTGTTTATTATTGATTTAACAGAAAGGACGATGAATATATTTTAGCGCAAAAATTCGGGCCTTCGCGAGTTGCATAATAATTCTGTAATTGAAACCAAATTCCAGATATCCAGATGTAATATACCGAGAGTGGACAAAATATAGCGTTACGAATTTTTATCTCCAAAAATATAATAAAAGTTGTAGGATTTCGAGGGGGAAAGAAATTGGACGCTATACTGACTTTTTTCCCTCAAAATCTTATAACTTCTGTTTAAAACATTTTTCTTTAAAAACAATATCGTTAGAGATAAAAATTCGTAACGCTTTATTTTGTCCACCCTTTATAACGAATCTGTATAAGATTATCTATGGGCGTCCGTAGGATTTTTTCCAGAGGGAGGCATGATTAATTTTTTTTTTCTTAATTTTTTTGTTATTTTAATTTTTTTATATTAAATGTGCAAATAAATTTCAGCTTAATTTTTTTACTGATTCCAAGAGGGGGTTAAATGCTCCCTCTTGTCTTCCTCTCCCGACTCATGATTAGGTCTACATATTTCTTCGGGGTTTATTATATTCAGTATTATGCTTAGAAAAAGTATTTATTTTAATACTGTTAAATAAATCATTTATTTGAAACTAATAATATTTATTTGATATGAAAAATATTTATTTGATATAAGAAAATCCTTTTCAAAACAAATAAAATTTGTTTCTCAAATAAATGATTTATTTGACAGTATTGAACTAAATATTCGTTAATTTAACAAATTTTTTAAATATATTTTTTATATTAAATATATTTTTAAATATATTTTTATATATTATATTTCATAGAAAAATATATTTAATATAAAAAATATGTTTAAAAATATATTTATTTTTAAATATATTTTTTTTCAGTGCACTGATTATTTGATCGCCGATTTCAAAACTTTCCGAATAATACCGAATTGATGAAACTGAATTTTCATTATGATGAAACGTTGCCTAGGGTGGGAATCGAGCATACGCAGGGCGAAGGACCTGGTGCGTACGTTACGGCGACGATCGCGAAGAAGACGCCGACGATCCCGGAAAGCACGCCGGAAGTTCACAGCGAGGTGTCCGAGTCCGCGACAGCCGAATCCGATTCCGACTCCACGGAGTAACGCGGATCATCTTCGCGGTGGCTAAATCGAACGTCCCCTGTGTTGTAATAATTAGTACATTCTGAGACGAGAGAGAGAGAGAGAGACGTTACGTAACTCGAGATTGATGAGGAGAGTCTCACATATGGCCGAGTCTAGTCGTTTATAAGACGTGAATATAAATACCGTATCATGTATTAATCTGTATACAGAGAGAGGATGTGCGTGCGAACGCGGGGATGTTTTGGAAATCGCCGGCAAGTTGCGGATAACCCATACAAAATATTATGAGTTTTCAACAAATATTTCTATAAAATATTGCATAAAAATATTTTTAAATGATTTAAAAATTTTTTGTGATAACATTTTTTAGAATATTTAAAAAAAATATTTTACTTATATTATTTGGACCTCTGGTATTTGAATCTTTTCATTTATTATACCAAGGATCAAATCTCCTCAAGTTGATCATAAAACGTAAATTGATTTGTATATTTTAAAATACTTTAATTATATACATATTAATTAATTAATATATATTTTAAATGTTATTTATAAAAATATATCAATTTTATATATATATATATATATATATATATATTATTTAAATATATATTATTAAAATATATAATTTTAAAAATATTCTTATTTGTCGCTCAGATAATATTTTCTTAAATATTTGATACATATTTTTGAAATATTAGTTTAAATCTATATTCAAAAATATTTCTGAAAATATTTTTTAAACATGAAAAAGCGGACATAGAAACATTTTTAAAATATTTTCGAGAATTATTTTATATTTTAAAAAAATATTTTCAAAAGATTTTAAAAATATTTTGTACTGTATGAGAATCTCGTTCTGTTAACGTTCGAAATTATGGACGAATAAAATCGAACCAGATCAGAGACCTGAAATTATAGTCGATTTACCAGAAAGCAAAAATTTAATAATTTCACTAAATCTTTCAACTAAATTTTGTTAATTGAACATATATTAATATTTAAGTCAAATATACCTATGTTTTGTTAGATTTAATATATTATATTTAATTTAAATATTTTTATATGTTTAATTAGCAAAATAATATTTAGTTGAAAGATTTAGTCAAGTTAATAATTTTTTTTCAGAGTTGATTGTGAATAAATCGTCCAAAATTTTTCTTCAAAATAAAAAAATCTTTATTTTTAGAAATTTTCGGAAAATTATTCGATGCTTCCATCACAATTCGATTTGCAAATCGATTTGTGTGTTAAAAATAAATAATCTCGCAACACGGAGGCGATTTTCGATACATTTAGTCCGTGTTCGCGTGCAAATAATTAAATTAATAGTTATATAATGAGGAGTAAAGTAAAGGAAGAAGATAATTTGTGAAAAAAATGGAAGAGGACAATACCGTTTTTTCGTTCCGTCGTAGCTTGTTAAGTCATATAACACTCGCGGTGGAAAGCTTTGTGACCATGATGAAATCATGAAAATACGTTCATGATGACGTTTCAAAGGTTTGCCGACACTCGCAAAACGCGATCGTGGCCATATAAAAATTTATTATCGATGAAAATAGTCGCGTGCTTCTTTAAAAACGATCGGATAAATATATTTTCCGTCCAAAAATTTGCATCGAAATTATTTGGACCTCTGGTATTTGAATCTTTTCATTTATTATACCAAGGATCAAATCTCCTCAAGTTGATCATGAAATGTAAATTGATTTTAATATTTTAAAATAATTTTTTTAAATTATATATACATATTAATTAATATATATTTAAATGTTATTTATAAAAATATATCAATATATATATATATATATATATATATATATATATATATTTAAATAGTATATTGTGTATCAAGTGCAGAAAGTTGACAATTGGTCACGAGTGCGGGGGATAGATGCACGAGCCGAAGGCGAGTGCGACCACCCACACGAGTGAACAATTGTCAATCCGCACGTGATACACATACTATTTTGTATTACAAGTGCAGACAAAGTGGCTTTGTGCGCGTTTTTTGTGCATGAGGTGGCCGATCGCACGCCGCCATCTTGCGGCGGCACGGTGCGGGAATAGCTGTGTTCAAAGTCATTGTCCACGGCTTCAGCCGTGGGCAATGACTTTGAACGCGGCTCAGCCGTAGGCAATGGCTTTGAACGCGGCTTATTCGCTCACCGCGTCGCCGCTAGATGATGGTGTGGGAAATCGGCCGCTTTCCGCACAGAAAACACGCACAAAGTGCCACTTTGCCTGCACGTATAATACAAAATATTTTAATATATTATAATAATATAGGTAAATGAAAAAAAGTAATGATGAATAAATTTGTCTCTAAATTACTCGCGGCGAAGAGAAAGATAAATCTACGGACACACATACACATATATACAAAAATACATGAAATTACGTTGTCGTTGCGATCAGAGAGCAATGATCTGTTAGATGCCGTTATGGTTTTATAGACGCAAGCATATCCCATTGTTTTTTGAGCTTATAGAGGATCTACGCGTATCGTTATTTAGTCGCTAGTAGACATTAAGTAGATAAATCAATTTATCTCGTGTGCAATGCGTTATATATATAAAATATTCTGTAGTATATAAATATATACTTATGTATAGAGTGTGCGTAACATTATTGTTACTTTATATTATTATGAAGCGAATTAAAATTGCAACTGGCCTAAACTAGAACGTCTATCGTATGTGCGTAAAATTGTAAAATATATTACAATACCCAGCCAGAAATGAATGATCAAATCGACAGGGTTGGGTAATAACTAATTCATTAGTTGAAAGTTAAAAAAGAGTTGAAAAGTTAATAAATTTTAACTTAGCTTATAATTAGTTGATTTAAAATGTATTCATTTTTAACTTCAACTAGTTATTTTTGACATTAAACTTATTAACTTTTTTCTTAAGTTAAATTTTTTTATCACTAAATACCATTATTGTTTCTTTTAAAAGTTATATAAATGTATTATTTTTAAATTAATGTATATTATTAATTTTTATATTTATTTGTCATCAATTACCAAAAAATATATTTCTATATAAAAATCAAAATTTCTTATTATATATTTTATAATAATTATTATTATAAAATAATATTTTATAAGTTATAAAATATAAAATATAAAATTATATTTTATAAATTATTTGTTATTATAAATTTTAAAAGAAGTAAAACAACAGTTAACAAACGAAATTCTAATTTAATATAAATAAAGTTTTTAAAAATTAACTTTTGCGACTTTTAACTCAAGTAAATTAATTAACTAAATTTTACACTGAAAAAGAAATTTATTAAATTAACAAATATTTAGTTTAATACGTTCAAACGAATCATTTATTTGAAACAAATAAATATTTTTCATATCAAATAAATATTATTAGTTTCAAATAAATGATTAATTTGAACGTATTGAACTAAATACTTATAAGAATTAACTAATTTTTTTTCAATATATAAGCAATTAACTTTAACTTAACTTAGTTTAAAAAATCATTAACTTACCCAACCCTGCAAATCGACATCGATTCGACGTTGATTTATCCAATTGAAAAAAAAAAGTTTATTAAATTAACAAATATTTAGTTCAATACGTTCAAATGAATAATTTATTTGAAACAAATAAATATTTATTTGATACGAAAATTATTTATTTGACAGAAGAAAATCCTTTTCAAAACAAATAAATATTTATTTGTTTCAAATAAATAATTTATTTGAACGTATCGAACTAAATATTTGTTAATTTAACAAACTTGTTTTTTCAGCGCAGTCGATTCGAAATAATTTCTGGCTGGGTTGCTCAACGAGGATGCGTAAGACTGCGAGATTGCGTCTAGTCTTTAATGATATTCGTTATTTAAGCGATAAGCATGAATAATGAATCTATAATAAGCGCTTGTAGCGTTAGCTATAAAGTACAATCTCTAGAAATGATACGTAAGTTTCCGTTTTCGTTATCGATTTTTCTTTCACCTTTTTTCCAGTCGGCACGCAATAAAAGTGCCGACTTGTGGCAGAAAAGCAGCATCACCAAATATTAGGATTAAGATTAATTGTGTACTATATAGTGGCATAATTATACGCGAGATTTCCAAGCGAGAGTACATATGTATAGAAAGAGGGAGAGATCTTCGTTAATGATTGGTATAAGATATAAAATACTCTCGTCGTGCGTTTAGTAGACATTTAAGATATATTAATATATATATATTGAAACAAATTAGAAGACGTAAGTTTCAGTTATGTTTTGCATTTTTTTCACACGTTTCTCAACCTGCAAGAAAGGTCAGAAGAGTTGATTCTAGTCCCTAATAATTAAGAGAATACGTACGACACGGACGGAAAACACTGTCGATCGTACGTTAGTTTAATAAGTAGATTAAGGCTCTAGATTATAAGGGTAACTTCCGCCACAATAAGTATCATAATGGATGGCCAAGCAAGTCGTAGTAATTAAATTCATTAACGCGCCTGTTAGTTGTTAATTGCTACTCTGATCCCCGGCGACGTATCTAAAGTTCGGACACTTGTTCGCAAAATCGCGGGATATTTTTAATAAAAGAATCGTCATTTTTAACAGAAATGAAAGAAATTATTTTTTATGTATCACTGCAAAAAAATTTGTTAAATTAACAAATATTTAATTCAATACGCTCAAATAAATCGTTTGTTTGAATCAAATAGATATTTATTTGATAGAAATAAATATTTATTTGATATAAAAAATACTAAATAAATATTTATTTGTTTCAAATAAATAATTTATTTGAACGTATTGAACTAAATATTTATTAATTTAACAAACTTTTTTTCAGTGTGTAACAAAAAAATACAAAAATCCGTCAAAAACGAACATTATTCAGCCTTCATCCAATTAAAAATCATAAATTATATTTTGGGCGATTTCCAAGTCGTATAATTAAAAATTTTAAATTACCAAAAATTACAATTTTTCTCGTATAAAAAGACTTGTCGCTCTCTTTGTTGAAATATGAAAATGTAATATACAAAATGAAATATAGAAATATTTAATATAACTTATCAACGCGCTGAAAAAAAATTATCAACTTTACTCAACTTTTCAACTAAATATTATTGTGTTAAAATTAAACATATAAAAATATTTAATAAATCTAATAAAACATATATTTGACTTAAATATTAATATTTCATGCAGCACAAAATATTATGAATGTCTTTAAAAAAATATTTCTATAAAATATTGCATAAAAACATTTTAAAATAGTTTTAGGAATATTTTTAAATGATTTAAAAATTTCTTGTGATAACATTTTTGAGAATATTT